ATTGGTGATAACACTCCAACACAAGATTCGTAAAATTTCGTCGTTGTTTTTTGAATGTTAGTTCTCCGCAGACATAACAAAAAGAGTTAGGATCATTATTACACTTCCTCGACATATTCACAGGGTTAATAAATCACAAAAAAGTGTTCAAATTCAACAACAAATATTTTTATAAGGATTTACTTGTAAGCGTTTCTGTTAATTTACTGCCGTAGTACTAGTTATGAGTATTACCGTATCACAACAAATATGAGGCTAATAGACATATGACAGCTGTCATGTAATAATGAGGGTAGACTGATAAAACAAAATTAGCTGTCAAAGTTCGTGTGGCAAAACCAGTGTTGACCAGTTTTATTTTTACTGAGCACAACTGCCAAAACATGCGACTTGTATTCAAGGGTGAATATCCGATTCCTAACAGTTGGATGTCGGAAATCAGAGTATGAAATCGAGGGAAATTTACGTTACAAAAGAAACGACGTTTAGGAAGTTACCAAGTCATATAATATAACATCTAGAAGCTATAAGATGGCTTACAGGATTTACTGTATAAATGTCGAACCGATTGCGACTGCATTGAAATATCGGCTCGCTTACATTCACTTGTAGTAATTCGTAATCCTATCATAATAACCCGATTGCAACGTTCTCGGCCATATACAACGTCGAGTTTGGAAATATCATTTACGTTATGTAGTAACCCCCATTGTTTTATCTGGCACCGCATTCAGGACATCGTCGAATCAGCGTTTCAAAACCGACGAACACACCTCATACTACAGCAATTTTTTCGGAAATATTTTCATGCAAATTAGCGAGATCATCTCGACCGATAGCGGTTTTCGGATCCGTTTTCACCGTATTGAATGGTGAATATTTCGACAAAAATGATAATGAGGTAAAACTTTCTTTCGTGCATTATTTGGAAATTAACACTGATAAGCACAGGATTTGTGACATGACAATTTTAGCGTATATCTTATTCGAAGTTGAGTCATTTATTTTAACAGTGAGTAGATCTCAAAAGAAATGTTTTTTCCTTTAACATTTTTCTGGTAAAATTAAAGTAACAATCCCATACAATCTGTGGAAACGCGGTATAGTTATTCCGCTACCTAAATGTTCTGATCCCACTAACCATGGTCAACTGAGACCGATCAGTCTACTGCCAATTTTTTCTAAAGTATTAGAACGCGTTGTTTACGAGCAGCTCTGCGCCTACTTATGTTCTAACAAAATTATTCCATCTAAACAATCTGGATTTCGACAAGGTCATAATACAGCTTCGGCACTCTGTGATTTAACAGACAATATAACAATGGCACTTGATAACCAAAAAGCAGTAGCTCTCATACTTCTTGACTTTACTAAAGCATTTGACACCATTAATCACTCACTTCTTGTATCTAAATGGATTATGGATTTTCTGAAAAACCTCTTTCGCTTATTCAAACCTACCTTGAAAATCGATATCAAAAAGTTCGTCTAAATCAACAGTACTCTACGGAACAAAAAATTTGTTCTGGTGTACCACAGGGATCAGTCTTAGGACCGCTATTATTTTCATTATATATCTCAGATTTAGAAACAGAGGTAAAATCATGCACCATACAATTTTTCGCAGATGATACACAAGTTTTCTATTCATTTAGGAGTAATGACTTGGAAACGGCAAATAATAAAATTAATCAAGATCTTGCCCAAATTGAAAAGTTCAGTAGTAGTCATAATCTTCGTTTGAACCCTTTGAAGACAAATATGTTGGTATACGCAAATAGAACAAAAAAGAATACCTTAAAGGACATAGACATACATTTAAAAGGTAATAAATTAATTCCTGTGGATCATTCGAAGAACCTAGGTATTATAATGGATGATGACTTAAAATTTGTTGCACACGTGAACTATCTAATTACTCAGTGCTACGCTATTCTCAGAGTTTTATTTGCAAATAAGGCTATATTACATAAATCTGCGAGAAAGCAATTGTGTCAATATTTCGTGTTTTCAAAGATATCGTATTGCTTAGTGGTTTACTATCCCTATTTAGATATTATAACAAGAAATCGTATTCAAAGTAGTATGAATACATGTTGCAGACATGTAAATGATCTCAAAAAATATGATCATATATCGAATACCATTAATGAACTCAAATGGATGAAAATTGATAAAATGTATAAGTACCAGCTCCTAAATCTGAGTCATAAGGTTCTTTATTCAAAAACACCGTCATATTTAGTAAACAAATTCATACGTAGAGGGAATATGCATCGTATTAATATTAGATATAGAGAGACTTTTTCAATTCCACGCCACAGCACGTCTCTATTTCAGAATACATACATTTACAATGCGATCAAATCATATAATTCTTTAGACCGCAGTTTAAAAGAAACCAATCCATTATCCAAATTCAAGAAAAAAGTGAAAGAAGTTCTTCTTGATCAGCAGCGAAATCGGTTGTAAAAGTGTCCTCATATTTTCCTTATGTATTTACTTGGATTATTCGTTATTGTATACAGGTGCCTATTAATTTTCAACGAATTGTTTTTTCTTACATCTCGTATTGTTAAGGGGGTTAGATGGTAGAATGGATATATAATCTAAATCTCGCCTTCTGTAAGAATGTTACAAATAAAAGACGTTAATTATTATTATTACTATTATTATTAGAGAAATAATGATAAACCTGATGTTTAATCAATTTCTCCAATATCTTAGATATAACAGGAATCAAAGTTATAGGTCTTAAGTCCGAGTGACATTTTGGATTTTTACATTTAGGCAAGGGTTTGACAAGAGATAGTTTCCAAGCATCATGAATTGCCTTCAGGGATTTTGTCTCAAAATGATCGCGTTTCGCAATGAATTTTGATATCAATCAACGAGTGTATACTTTATCTGAAGTCACTTGAAATAGCATAAAAACCTTTGGTCCTTTGTAATTACATGACGTATCATAGGCGTGCGGTCATTTATTTAGAACGATAATAAAATGTTTTTATATCACAATAAATGGATTTTACTATCTTCTTATTTTTTTGATTTGGGATAAAAAATACTTATATTGGGAGTTTAATTTATGTTGAGTGAAAGTTAAGAAATGGAAAAATTACAGAATTCCAACGTTTGACATAGGCAAAGATTTACATAGCAGGTAGGTATATAAAAAGGTATATAAAGACTTACATTATAGGTATTTATATATCATCCTCGCCTTCGGAGCTGTCGCTAGAGTCATCTTGTAGAGGAATTACAACGGGATTTACAGGAGGCAAAACACAATATTCATTTTCTTTTTCAATAATATGCCTAGAACACTGCTTCCATAGGTCTGTGGCAGCAATATGATATAGTGCATCTCTTATTGTGGCCAATAGCGATTCACTTAATTGAGGGGTCTGATTATGTTTTCTTACTTTTTTTTTAAGCAGCCCAGACCAACTCAATCGGGTTAAAAATGCAGTAATAGAGAGGTAGACGTAATACTTCATGGCCATTTTGCTGAAGCAGATTGTCAACAACATGCTCTTTTTCAAATTTTTGTCTGATAATAAGATCCAATAATATAGCTTTGGTTGATTTTTGTGGTATTTCCATTCCCTTTTCCTTCATAAAATCAATAATGTCTTGTTTTTTTGTGCCTGTATTCGGAATTTTGTTTTTCTGTCGGGAATGGTATGGCGCATTGTCCATAATAATCACTGAATTTGGGGAAATGTTTGGTATTAACTGCTGCTCTATCCACTTTTCAAATATGTCGGAGGTCATGTCCTCATGATAGTCGGCACATGATTCTTTGATATTTTTGGCAGATAACAGCAAGGCATTAGGTATAAATCCATTTTCACTGCCAGCATGGAGAATAATGATTCGTTTTCCACGGTTGCATGGTGCATTTAAAATGCACTTGTTGCTGTCGTCAACCCAGCCGTACTGCACAACAACATGGGTATCATACCACGTTTCATCCAGGTAAATCAGATTTCTTTCCTGCTCTCTATAGATTTTAACTTTGTGCAAAAATTCTTGGCGCAATTCAACGATTCGAGACGACTCCATAATCACCATTCTTTTATCTAATTTTTTGTATTGAAAACCACACAGTTTTACAATACAGTGCAGTGAGTCTAAGCATTTGTAATTATAAAAATCTTCAGGATAATCTTTTAATTTATCCCGTATCATTTCCAACGTGGGCACCAAATTTTCTTTATAAAATCCGTATATTATACGACGAATATCTTCCTGAAAACCCACGTCTATTCTTTTTAATTTTTGCCCTATGCGCTTTCTGTGGAAGGAATGGTTGACTACATCTCCCCTTTTTATAACCCGATAAATGGTAGACCGACTGATTTTTGTCAGGATACAAATTCTGTTTAAAATTTGATTTTGCGAGGAATCTGGATTTTCGTTTTTCAGACAATCATACATATTTAGGATTACTCTTTGGGTCTGTTCCTCTAGATCTTTATGAAAGAATTCTGCCTGCACAGGTTCATCAACCATCTCCTCGTGGCTTGGAGCATTTTCCCAAGGTCTCCAAAGAGCCATATTTAGGACACACAAGAACAATCAACACAACAATTAAATCAACAAGTAAACTGAGTATTCAAAAGTCAAAAACACACAAACTAATAAAATCTATGAAAAAACACGGACAGACTAAAGAAAACACGTTTATTCACCGCTACACGGCACTGGCTAAACTGTTTCAATTTTCAGTAGCCACCTGCACTTGTTCGGAGCTCTGAAATACACGCTTTCTCATTGGCTATGTCCACGCATAGGCGTGCTTTACTCCACGTGGACCGGTGAAACTGCCTTTGATCTTATACGGGGGATATTTGCTGCGAAATTTGGCGATTTTTGCAGCAACAGAGCGTGTTAAATATAGATATATAAAACGCACCCGGTATTTCACAGTGTTTCAAGTGACTCCAGATAAAGTATACCTTTTAAACATTCCCAATTCTACAAAGTAGATCGACTCACCTTTCTTCATCGGCGAAGACGAATTTCCTCAGCTTCAGATCCCTGAGCACGATGCCGTGCTCGTGGCACACTCGAACCGTTTCGGCGATCTGCCGGAAGAGACGGCGCGCTTCCGGTTCCCGGAGCCGTTTCCGGCAGCGCACGTACGAATGCAGGTCGCCGTGCGCCGGCGGGAACACCAGGTACAGGTAGCGATCGCGCGCGACCACCTCGCGCAGTCGCGCGACTCGTCGGTGGTGATCGAGCCGGAAGTGCGCCGAGACCAGCGAGTGGCTGTCTCGACTCACGATCTGAAAAAGAAGAAAAAAAATGAATAAATCCTGCACCAGCTGGACAATTATGAAAAGCTACAGTTGGGATTGGTGTTTCCGGAACATGGTCAAAAATTAAAGAAGGGACTCTTGTTATAAAGAGCATCTAAACCATTGATTCCCAAAGTGGTCTATATCGACCCCTAGGGGTCTATGACAACCTGCAAGGGGTCTACGTCAGCGAAAAAAAAATTGGGGGTACATGAAATGAATATGGGGGTCCACGATAGTGGATCTCAACACATACACTGATAGTACCTATTTACTTACATCATACTATCGTATACGTATAATATCAAAACATATACATTATTTATAAAAGTACCTATGAAGTAAAAAATGTATTATATATGTTTATAAAATTGTGTTAGTTGTAGGATGTTGGTATTCGCTTTGTGGTCGCAATACATTTTGAACTTGTAAAAACCTGAGAGTCGCAGTCTCAGAGCTTCGCTACCTTGCACTGACTTGTTCAATTCGTCACTCTATAAATACGAATGTGGGACAAATACGTTTATTCGTTTCCTGAATCTTGAAAAGGAAAGTGCTAAGAAAATATTTTAAAAAATATAAACAGATGGTATATCACACAAATTATAGTGAGTCAGTGTTATTTTGTTTGAGAGTGCTGGAGAAAAGTAAGTACATTGTTTTTTATTAAATTTTAGTTTTGTACTCGTAGTTAGCAAAGATAGATAAATTACGCCAATCATGACTTTAGTTATTAGTAATTAAATATTCAATCATGCAAAATTACACGAGCACTCAATAGTTTCTTTTTGAAAGTTTTAGCAATCAGTAATATAATTACAGTGCAATCTCCGTAATTCGAGCTAATTGTTGCAAGATGTTCGAATTATGGAATGTTTCCGGAAAAATAAAAAAATGTTTTTAATATACAGCTGCTGGATTTTCTGTCGTATTTAAATAATTTAATTTTGCCCACAGATGACTGATGCCATGCCCGAATCTAAAAAGAAATGTAGACAGTACAGTGTTGATTATTTGAAATTTGGCTTCATTCCAACATTGCCGGACAAACAATCGCCTATGTGCCTTTTATGCAACAAAGTTTTGGGCAGTGACGCTATGAAACCATCTAAACTGCAAGATCATCTGAGAAGATGCCACCCTGATAAAACAGAGAAAGATTTGAAATACTTTCAAACACTCAAAGATAAATTTCAGAAGAGACCTACACTGGACAGAATGTTCGCTTCGACGTCACAAAGAAATGATGATGAGTATAATTTTCACCAATTTCCAGAAGTTTGATTAATTTGAAACTGACATGTCCGCAAAAAAATAATTGTGAAATCGAACTAAAAAATGAAGGGTAAATAATAGTTTAAAAAACTAAAAGACACGCTTTTACAACACTAAAAAGTAGAAAATAATTTTTAATTACAAAGAGTTTATATTACAGTATTAGATGGTCGAACTATCAATCATATACTAAGTGACATATAAATCCGAACACCCAGTTCAAATGGTTTTATTTTAATAAAAGTTGGTGAATGTATTTATCTTACTGTAAATAACAAGTGAAAAAATTGTCAGCCTTATCAGTTGGACATTTCGGTTTTTATACTGCTTTTTTTTAATTCACTAACGCTCTAAAAATGAATATTTCAGCCGCAGTAAAGAATCAACGTTGGAGGATTTTGGTTCTTGACATCCTTTACGATCGGCTACGATGCCTAGAGTACGGAGACCTGTACGATTTCGTCAACTTAGTGAGTTTGATAGGGGCCGTAAAGTGGGACTTCGGGAAGCTGGACTTTCTTTTCGGGCAATTGCAGTTAGAGTGCAAAGAAGTGTAGACACTGTGGTTAGGTATTGTCAGGCATGGCTTCGAGAAGGCCGTACGCAAAGAGCAAGGGGCACTGGACGCCGCCGTAGAACAACAGACCGTGAAGATCGCCGCCTAAGATTATTGGCCTTCAGGGACCGTTTCTCCACTACCAGGTCCATTGCAAATGAATGGTTTGCAGAACACAGAAGACCTATTGGCATGCGAAGTGTTTACCGACGAATGAGAAGTTTTGGCTTGTTTTCATACCGGCCACACTGGGTCCTCCCTTTAACTCGAGAACACCGACGTAATCGCCTTGAGTGGTGCAGACAGCGGTCACTCTGGGATCAGGAATGGACCAGTATTGTCTTTAGTGACGAGTCTCGATTTTGTTTAGGTATGCACGATGGTCATGCCAGGGTTAGAAGGCGATTTGGTGAAAGGAGGAATCCACAGTTTTTTGTTGAAAGACATGTTCATCACACTGTTGGAGTTATGGCTTGGGGTGCTATAGCTTATGGTTCCAGGTCACCTTTAATCTTCATCAGAGGTAACATGAACGCGCAGCGTTATATCCACGAAGTTCTAGAACCCCATCTTTCACCCTATCTTGACACCCTGACAGATCCAACTTTCCAACAAGATAATGCCCGACCACATGTTGCAAGAGTCACAATAGACTTCTTTCAACATAATGATGTCACATTGTTACCATGGCCACCAAGATCTCCCGACTTATCCCCAATTGAGCACGTGTGGGATATGATGGGTAGGAGATTGCTCAATTTGCAACGTCCTCCTCAGACTATAGAAGCACTTCGAGAGGAGTTGGTGGTTGCCTGGAATGAGATACCACAGGAGGACATTGACCACTGATCAGAAGCATGCCTAGGCGCGTTGGAGAATGCGTAGCACATCAGGGTGCATCCACACATTATTAAAGGTCAAAGGGCTTTAAAACAGTGCAATCATTTAGAAATTTTTATCATTTACTTATTATGCTTCATTAAGTACTTATACAAAATTTTATTAAAATAAAACCATTTAAACTGGGTGTTCGGATTTATATGTCACTTAGTATAGTTCAAGATCAATTGTATTGTGCGAATACCTATGTATATTCACAGCATGAGGGTCAAATTTAATACCCTTACCCTATAAATGAATCAGAAGGGAGTTTCCTCCCCTTTATGTCATTTTGTGAGAAAATGAAAGCAGGTTAGTGACCAATTCGATTAGAATTGACAGGTTAAAAATTTCGTCAATAAAATACCAGTACAATCAATGTTGGGGGGGGAGATTCTTGTGGGCATCTCTTTCTGATCATTTCCAGAAGCCTGTTTGACCAACTTGATCCATTTGAAAGGCAAAGTCAACCTAGTCATCGACATTTTTAGCTGTTTTCGTTCAATCAGCATGGAACGGCATTGAAATGTGGCAAACAATAGTGATAAACTTAAAAATACCTCAACAGTATCTAACTTCCGAAAGAGACGTAAGGTACGCCTATGGGTACTTTTGAAAAATCATTCTGAGTAACTTTTCTGTGTCAAAACACTTCAGATTATCAGAACAAGTACAGCATTCGCGGATTTAGGATTATAAAGTTATCCTCGACATAGAAATACACAACAAATTAATATTTTATTTTTACCTCCGAAGCTGCTATTTCTCAATACGGTCGTGTGATGTAATCGTTAGCAAGGTGAAGTATTTATACGCTACGGCGATGATGACAGCATTGCATTATATCTTGCTTTACACATGGTACCGTTTTCAAACATCACATTGCATTCCGTGAAAAATTGCATTGTAAAACAATAGATGCTGTTATATGTTAGAGAAATATCGCAGTTCCGATGTCTCACAGATGTATACATGGGTAAGTATAATGAAGGAGTCAAGCTAGAATCCCACCCACTGCTTGTCGCATATGATATAGTTGTAGTTTTGCATATAGAAACATAGTAGGCCGCGCGGATCGAACGTCAGTACTGAATCTTAACCTCACTCTTTAGTAAACGTAAATTCAAAGTTTCACAACAATACGTGCAGTGTTCTCACTACAGTGAATTTTCAAGTGTCACCGAGTCATTAGGAAAATGGAACTCAACCGGGAACATTTTCGCGCCATAATTTATTACAACTTTCAGAGACAATTATCGCAACAAGAATGCCTTCCTGAAGATAGGCATGTGACATATCGCGAGATTGAGGCGTCCTTGAAGATCTCAAAGACCTCAATTCAAAAAATTTTACATGAAGAATTAGGAGTAAGAAAATTAGTTTCTCGTTGGATACCCCACCTTTTGACTGAAGAGCAGAAAGCAGCCAGGGTTAATTGGTGTCAAAAAACGCTTGACCTACCGTGTTGTTTTATTTCCATATGCAAAACTTAAAGGACATCCCTCGTACAATTTTAGGATGGTTGCAAAAATAAAGCAATCGAAAATCAGAAGGCCAAAAAGAAGGCTTGTTCCGTGTTCATATCAAGCTTTCTAAATTGTTTATTTTCTTCTTCGCGAAAATAAACAAAAATACTCAAGTACAATAGTCATTACAATATTAATAAAAAAACACTTAAAACGTTGAAATCTTGTTTCAGGACAAGCAATCTCAAAAACGGAGATGAACATCTAAACACATGAAAGCAACAACTTCACAATATGAAAAACTGATCATTGCAAAGATTTATTAATGACATGAAATGAAATGAAATGAAATGAAATGAAATGAAATGAAATGAAATGAAATGAAATGAAATGAAATGAAATGTTTATTATTCTTAGCCCTAAAGCTACTTCCTATAGTTTATAATAGTGTCGTACTCCAGTAATAAACAAAAAAACAGTAATTCTAGATTCCCTTAAAATCATAGTAACTGCAACCACAGTAAATGCAACAATTGCAAATGCGAAATAATGACATACAGTTATCTTAACACAGAAAGTACATATATTATGCCATTTTATCTAGATACAATTGCTTAGCCTTACGAATAAATATATTTACAGACGTCGCTTCTCTAATTTCTGTAGGTAATGCATTAAAAAGTCTCAAACCATCACTAAAAAGACATTTTTGCATATGGGATGTTCTAGCGAATTCTATGTCAAAAGTGTTACGTGACCTGATATTAGATATTCCTGCAAGTATTCAGGCAATAAATGATTTTTTGTTTTAA